CCATGCGAATGACGACCCACCAGCTTCGTTCCCTTACCGGTCTATCTGTGAGATGGATCGACCATCAAAAGATGAATGGAGGATGGATGGATGCATGGTCAAAGGGACGGGCCCAACGTGCTACGAATTGAAGATTTGAAGCCGACCTTGCCGTGCCTAGCTAATTGTGACGGCTCACCACAAAGGCCACTGCCTGCACTGCACCACCCTTGATTTGTCGCCTCAGCAAGGAATTAGTATATATCATCGTCTCTACATATGTTGCTCGCAGGTGCAGCATATATAATATATTTTTTTCGATAAAAGGGTGCCATGATCATATATGACGAAACATTCATCATGTGCTGCAGCCTGTGCCTATTTATGGATCAACCGAAGATATTCAACAAATGCTAATTTGCTAGTACTCTCTTCATCCCCAAAAAACTTTGTTTTAAAGCTTTCTAGGACATATTAGTGATCAATTAAAATTATTCTTGTATCTCTATTTGTTAAATGTGATCCATGCTAATTAAGGAATAAGGCGCTAAATAAAGGTTGTGTTCGGCTGGCTGGCTGGCTGATTGCCGGCTGGCCAGCCATCTCACAAAATCACTATTCACGTCATGTCAGAACAGTATTTTCCTCTCACAACAATCAGCCGAAACAGTATTTTTCAGTCCTGCCAAACGGGCCCAAAAAGAATGCCCGCAGACATGCAAACCAAAATCTCAAGAACCCAAAACCTAGTTCCAAAAGCTAAACCATTAAGTTTTTTGTACAAACTTGTAATCTTAAAGCATCAAGTTTTTTTGGGACAGAGGTAGTATTTATTTCAAAGTTCGACTAAACTTGAATCCTTCCCAAACAAAATGTGGATCCAGTAATCTTCCTCGCAAAAGAACTTTGTTCAAAACTAACACCAACGATAGCGGAGGGAGGATATATATGGTGGTGTCCACCACCACTTGGGGTTGGAAAGAGATTGCCTACCAAAATGCTTATACTACATTATCCAACCACCTCAACAAAAACTAGTAAGGCTGCGTTCGGTTACCAGGTTTTGATAACCTGGAATCATTCCAACCGAAATTCCTTCTTTAATTTATATAGCTAGCGTCACTAGGAACAGTTCCAGTCGAGAACCACCTCTAAACGAACGGGCCCTAAAGGGTAAAGATCAGTAGGATCCATCATGATGGTGCATCTCCAACACAGATTGAAGGACGGGATTGATCGATTAGCCCTTAAACCCAACATATATTTGTGTCTGAACAATCCTGATATCTTGCATGTACATATATTGCTAGTTGCTACTATACAGATGATGTTTCACAGATAACAATCTTGATATCTTGCATGCATGTCTCCTTGCTCGCATGAATAATGTTCTTTGTCGTTGTTGCCTTGGTTCAATCGATTACTTTTCAGGGATGCTATATAGTATATGTTCGAGAGTAAGGATAATTTATATTTAAAAAAAAAAAAAATGCCCATAGGCCCTGACCATCAGAGGTCTCAGTTCGGTAGCGGAGGAGGTGATCTAGTTCAGTTTCAACCCTTAGATGCTGATTCAACGGCTGAGTTGTTGGATTGGATCACGTTATAGGGTGGGAATCTTCCCTACGGACATTGATAAATCCAAAGGGGCATATATATATTTCATGTTCTACTAGTGACAATCTATTACCACCTAAAAATAGGTAGAGGTTTCGTCCACCTCCCTTGGTGACTACGCGGGCTGCAAGGTCCGAACCGAACTCCTTCGTACGATAGGACTATAGGACTGAAAAAAAGATCTCCGGTAAAAAAAAAATTGGACCGAACAAAATCCGACTCGATCTCCTGGTGGGTAGCACCTAGGCTCAATACTATCTCCACGAGGCTAGCAGCTGGGCTCAGTTATATATATCTCTCTATATAACACTACAACGATAAAATAACTAATTAAAATTCACAAATTAGGAAGGCTTGGCCAATAAAAAAATGACCGTATCAATTTTTCCAGTATAAAAATGGTCTTAAATAAAAAAATAACGAGCTATAAAGCTGCAAATCTTATCGACCATTATAATTTCATATAAATTATACTTTTACAAATAAGTTATGTTTTTTTTTTCAAATATATACTACATGGAGAAGAAATATCTTGTCATTTTTACGAATCATAGTACAATACAGATGCTCATACATGTTTGTACACTCATCTTATATGAACACACATTTCTACCCCTATGAGAACACGAGACTTAAAATTTACCAAATAAATTGGTGAGAGTAGTACATTTCAGTGATTTTAGACATGGTAATAAATTTTATAAAAGTTCAATGAAAGTCTTCTATACACCTAAAAGACTGTAACGTCATCATCTAGGTAATAGCAAGTCTCGATCCCTGCTTACGTGTCGGCATTCGATATGAATCAACCTCTACTCGAAGCTCACGTGTCTGCGTCGCACATACGGTTCCACCACAGAGACCGGATCCACGTGTCCGTGTCAGATACAAAGTTCTCAGCTGAGCTCATGTGTCCGCGTCCGCATCCGAATACTGAGATTAAGCACAAAATTGATGACCCCGGTGCAACGCACGGACATATATCTAGTTATTGCTAAAATTAAACATAGAACCATCATACAAAGAGAAAACAAGACAGGCCACATGCATGCATGCTTCACCAAGAAAGAACGAATAGGAAAAGCTCTCTTGGAGATAAAATTGACGCTACGGGGTTGCCATCTCTGTAACTCCATTGCATTTCACATGTGGTCATTTTCCCACCCTTTCTTTCTCTTGAACGGCTAATCAGTTGACGCTTGTGTGATTTACTGCCAAAGAAAACGACTTGCCTAGACTATTTAAGAGGTAACGCGTCTTTATCAACAAGTTATGTGACCCCACTTTTTTTTTTTTTTTTTTGCAGAACATGTGACCCCACATGACTACAAAAATATATAGTCGAAGCTTCATAGTAACAAATCACTCTTTAAGTGAACGCATCATCATTGGTTTGCCTTTCTGCCACCATTATATTTTGGGATCTTCATCATGCAATCAACTTTACACACTATTCTTGGTCAAATTTTAATAATTGGAATACGGCATAGAAGGTTGTCCTGAGTTTACAAAATTGACTTTAGGATATTAATTGTCACTATCATGCTGTGCGTTATGACAAAATAAAGAAGGGTAGAGAGAGAAATCTTTTTGACCTTGGATCATATCAGTCGGTTGGTGAAGCAAAGGCACACACTATGTACATATACGCGTCCAATATTCATACCACAAAATGTGGGTCATAAGATACAAATTGGACAACCTGAGAGTGGCACAAGAATCTTAGGTTGTTAATGTTCCTTTGTCACTAATTCCTTTGCTCATATGGAGCATATCTTGAAACGAATGCAGTTCTGAAACTCGATCCAATTCTGAACCATAAAAAGACCAAAGTCCGATCCAATTCATTTGTTATGGATTTTGGACAATCGAAAAGCCGCAATCCATAAGTACAACCAAATGAACACCACCAAATTTTCAGAATGATGCATTGAGCACGTAAACATAGGCCCATCTTAGCACAAAAATACTGCCATTTTAAACTTGAAGGAATAATTATTAAAGTGTTTGCTTCCTATTTTGTTAGTGATATGGATATATGATCAAAATGACCATTATTTAAAATTAACCACACAGTGCTCATTAATCTATCTGGCCAAGAAACAATCATATTGAAAATGCATGTATATACATCGAGTGTGGTGGTATTTAGGGCTTGTTTGGTCGATCGGTGGCCTCTCCTCTTCCGATCGCAAGCATACGCCTAGCATCACTGCCTGACCCAAGCGTGTTCCTCAGGGTGAGAAACAAACAACTCTTCAGAGTGTGAATGGAAGTAAAATATTTAAAGAGCAAGCTACTTTCTGTGGTTTATGAGGGTCTTTCCAAAGCTAGGGCTATTATATATGTGCATCCTCCATTTCCTCTCTTCTTTTAACTTTTCTAGTTGAGCCATACATATCAAAAGTGACCAAAGATTTGATGGAGATAGATCATGTGGTAGTTTGTGCATTACACAAGCAGATCAGGTAGCGTACAAGAGTTTGAGTCAATAATGTCAAGATATATATGTTCTTTTATGAACAAGGGAGTTAATGTTAAGATATATTAAGAAAAGCTTATTAAGTGCGTGTGCACTAGCTCAAGTAGTTATGAAACTAATTTCCATGGAAATTCTTTAGGTTCGCAATTACGCACGGTACGCATCATGCTAACGGTTCTTGACTAGAGTAATGTATACCTATAAATTTTCACAAGTTTTGGCAGGTTTTTTGCATGCATGTAGATTTAGAGGACAATAAGCAGTAGATATATATTATTAGTGGCACAGAATACATGCTGTTGCTGTGTATAGTTATTTTTATATATGGTTACTAAAACCTATAAACAATAATAGAGTTCATTTTCTCAGTAGGATTTACAGCTTTTTAGATATAATTGTATATATCTAAATAAAAACAATGTATAACGACATGCCTAACTGTACGTATATATGGACAGTTAATTCAGCAAGTGGCTAACTAGAGGATATACATATATGGGAGGAGTATTTGGTAATATAAGGCTTATAATAAAAAAAACAAGATGCAGAGAATAATGAAGACTTTCTGACCCCCTTATTCAAAATCTTATTTGAGGCATATATAGTTACATGTCACATTCTTGTTGGGTTTACATTAGCCGTATGTATGCCTTTTATGTGCAGGTAACAAAAGCTACAAGGAAAAGAACAAAGGCGAAAAACCTTATACACCCACTAGCAGTCCTTCTCGCTACCAAATACACGGTTTTTGGCACCGACGACACAAATCAAACTCACGCGAATTAATAATTCAAAACAACTTTGCCTTTACCAAACGTACCCTGTTTTTTAGTTGCAACAAGACCATCACCATTTCTAGAACCCACATGCACGCATGCAGCTTCGCGGCCTCTACCATGCGTATGCTAGAGCTTCATCATCTTCACAGCGGGTGATGAACAATGCAGCCGTCGGCGCCGCAGTGCACCGGCGGGCGGTGCTCGAAGGCGATGCACTCCTCGTGCGTGCGCTGGTGGGGCCACTCGGGGATGCAGTTCATCCGGTCGTCGCGCACGGGAATGTGAAGGCATGACACCGGCTCGCCGCAGAAGTAGTTGCCGGCGACGGTGAGGTTCTTGAGCTTCGGCAGCAGGCAGATGCTCTCTGGCACCACGCCGGACAGCTGGTTGTACCCCACGTTGAGCACCTCCAGGCTCTCCATGTCCCCGACGCTCTCCGGCAGCTCCCCGGCGAGCTCGTTGCGGCTGAGGTCCAGCACCCTGAGCTTCTTGAGCTTGCCGATCTCCGGCGGGATGCAGGAGCTGATGCTGGTGTTGAGGAGGATGAGCTCCACCAGCGTGTCGGCCATGTCGCCGATGCTCGGCGGCAGGCAGCCGGCGAGCTCGGTGTTGGCGAGCACGATGACCGACGCCGTGGAGTTGGTCAGGCTCTGCGACGACAGGGTCACGTTGAAGCGGTTGTTGTTGGCGAACAGGGCGTCCAGGCTGAGCTGCCGCCCGAACACGGCGTCGGGCAGCTGCCCGTCGAATTTGTTGAAGCGCAGGTCCAGGTACTTGAGCGACGGCAGCGAGGTGAGGAACGACGGGAACCCGCCGGAGAAGAGGTTGTTGCTGATGTCCAGCTCGTAGAGGAGGCGCATGTGCTGCATGGACGGCGGCAGCGTGCCGTGGAAGCGGTTGGAGTTGAGGTGGATGAGCGCGACGTCGGCGAGGAGACCGATGTGGTCCGGGAGGAACCCGGCGATGCGGCCGTGGTTGAGGTCGATGCCGGCGACGGTGAGGATGTGCGGGTCGTCCTGCGCCGCCGTGCAGAAGACGCCGGTGTAGTTGCACACGAAGGGCCCGCACCAGTCGGCGGTCAGGTTCTTGGGGTCCTCGAGGATGGCGTGCTTCCACGCCTGCAGCGCGATGTACGCCGCGTCGAGCCGGTCGTTGAACGGCGAGAGGTGAAGCGTCGCCGCCGGAGGCGCCGCCGTTGGAGATGGGGAGGGAGCCGGGAGTGGTTGGGAGATACATGGAAGGAGGAGGCAGAGGAGGAGGGCGTGTCGGAGAGCTCTCTTCTTAGTCTTGATTGTTGGCCCTGACAGAGGTGCCATTTTGATAGGAATGAATTTGGTGTTTGATTTGGAGAGGCAGATAAGAGAATGTGTGAAGTACTGTGGTATCTTGGAGTTTTCATGTGTGTTTGTACATATATATATTGGATTGTGGTGGCGAGTTGGAGGGAGCTAACGAGCTAGAGAAGTTTATGCTTGGTCATGGATGTTGACATATAATCATGCATGCTCTTCTTCTTTTTTGTTGACTCGGTTAAGGTTTCTGAGTAGGTGATGATGTGGTAAAGTTGGGCAGTTACTGCTTCTTGTTGCCACTTACACTAGAGAGACTAGCTCCTTATATATGTATCTGGCTACTCTCCCTTTGATTCCAAATATGGGTAATTTTTATATTTAATATATGCAGTAGGATCAAGAAAGTAGATCAAATGGTCTTGCTATCCTTCGTTTATATCTCATTTTGAAAAGATGACTCATTCATTTGTGGCATTAGTACAATCTGTAAGGTAGGATACAGATTAAAGAAGAAATAAAAAAGGTAAAAATTGCATAGAAATCATATCGGCGTAATTTTATATCTAATATACTCTTCCTTTGATTCCAAATATGGGTAATTTTATATCTAATATACTCCCTCTGTCCTAAAAAAAATATTGTTTTAGGATTTTTTAGACAGATTAGTGGAGAAGAGAAATATCTCTAATACCCTTAATTTGTTACACATGATTCCCAATCGTGTGGTTTAGTTCCCTAATTAAGACGTGCTACATGCAAGCATGCAGAGATCCGCGAGATGAACCAAGAGTAGTGCATGTCAATTTGTATTAACTAATAAGGAAAGGGTTGGATCAATAGATTCTTCATTGGACCAACAACGTGTCTAAAGCTCATAACATTATTTTTTAGGGACAAAATTCAAATCACAGAACATCCCTTATTTTGGGACGGCGGGAGTATGCAGTAGTATCAAGAAAGTAGATCAAATGATCTTTCTATCCTTTTTTTATCTCTCATTTTGGAAAGATGACTCATTCATTTGTGGCATTAGTAGAATATGTAAGGTAGGATAAAGATTAAAGAAGAATAAAAAGGTAAAAATTGCATAGAAGTTCTATGATGACTTATATTTAGAGGAAAAATAAAAAGGGCTAAAACGATCTACATTTGAAATAAGAAAAGATACCAATGCAACATTTGAACACCAGTAAGGAACACGATAGGCCTTCGCGTTGTCCCTAGGGGCGACATGGGTGGCGCTCGTACATTACCGTTTCCAGACCTGTCCGTTCTTCCACAATAAGAAGCATAGAAACACAACACACAAGCACATCACAAAGACACAAGACACATTTTAACAAAACACATCTCTAATCATTATCCAGTCAATAGAGACACATGTTTACACGCATACGTGATGATGTGCCATGGGTGACAACTCATTAGAGATGCGTTTAGAGAGGACGGATCTCTAATGTGTCATTACAGGCGTGGCTCAATTTGACGTCACTGATCATGGTGTCTCCTTTTTGCAATTTTGGCATAATGACAAGCGTTAGAGTTTGAACTAAACATGGAGAGAGAAGCTCTTTTCTTACAAATTGCAACATGTAAGGAAAGCCAAAAATTTGGATTCACGAACTTATGATAGACGGGGTTAGCTGATTAATGGTCAAGCTTAGAGAGCTTGACTGCACATTTTAGGACATTCCACCAAAACACAACTTGGATAATGAATTGATTTTGCAATATACTACAAATTATAGCAAGTCATATGATCACCAAACTTTTGGTGAACCTTGATTACCATACTAATTCTAGACACTTGTGCATTGATTAAGCAATTGATCATTTAAGCTTTGATCTGTTGATTGCAACCCAATTAGCGTCACACTTTTGTGAAAGGACGGAATACTATTTACATGAGCCACAGTGTATATGGGCCTGTTCGGCTGATATTAAAGCCGATTGAAGCTGTTTTGTTGTGAGAGAAAAATACTGATATTGTTTAGGTGAATTGACACACTATGTAGTTTGGCGAGTGCATTTGCCACTAGGACAATAGGTTTTTGGCAGAGTAGCAGCAGATGGTGGGAATCGGGTGAGAGGTCATATCGGCGTTCATCTCCCGTCGCCATCCCTGTCTTGTAGGACGAGATTGGGATGGAAATGTGGGACGACGACGACGCTGACGCCACCAACGCCCTCGCCGTCCATCTCATCCCAATATCGGCGCCGTGAGAATTACAGTATGATCTGGACCCGCCGGCGGCTTGAATCTCACACACACCGGCCGGACGGAGAGGATTCATTGGCAAAAAGCAAGCACACCCAAAACAACACAACAGCAAAGATTAACGTGTGCTAGGATGATGTCTGTGCTTTAAAAAGAGGCGGCCGGAACGCACATGGAGACGTCAGAGGAAAACATACTGAAAGCTAGCTAGCTGGTCGATCGATCGATGAAGTGCATCTTCTTGCTGGAAAATTGACCTGATCCTTTACCTATCTCTTGTTGGCACATCTTTGGTGCTTAAAGAAAACAACGTGTTCTTGCATCTCTCTCTCTCTCTCTCTCTCTCTCTCTCTCTCTCTCTCTCGTTTGACAGGCACAACTCCTCTAGCTCTCTGAGGCTCTGAGCCCCAATCCGGTAGGTGAGAGGGGAAATGGTAGCTGGTGGGATCGCGTCACTAGCTCCGAATCTAATCTTGGCACTGTAAATCAAAGGAAATGCGGTTTTTGGTCCATGTTTACACCCGCTCCTCCTTTTTTTCCTCTCCAACTATATTTACATATACATTATTACCCAAGGTAGATTAACCTCTACGCTTGTCGCCGACAGCTTGTTTACTAACTAACTAACTAACCCCGGGCATCCTCTTGGAACTTTCCTCGACCGACAGCATTTTTCAAACGAATTTCCCTTCTCCTATATAATCTCTTCTTCAACTATATTAAAAACAACAAGAAGAAGAAGAGAAAAAAAACTACTCCACTTGGTTTTGGTGAAGCTTACAACTCAAGAACCGCAACAAGTTGATGAGACTGAGCTTTCATGCACGCTGCTCTTTGAATTGTAGGCAAAGAAATTGGTATAGGAGAATGCCCTGTTGTGCTCTCTTCTATCCATCCGTTTGGTACATGGTGACATCTTCCAGTGTCAGACATGAAAGCTCAACGCGTGATCGTTTCATATATTATTCTGACACACTTGTGGTCTTGGAACGAAGGGTCAAGAAACTTGATCCTTTCTGCACGAGGGTTTCTTGGAGTCGAGAACAAGCGAGCTGATCAACGACATGGAAGCATGCACGCAGGCATGCCCGGCACGTTTGAGTTTGACCAGGGTTACAAGTCTGGTCTCTGGTCAAGCAGATGACATGTAGCCCTCTGGGAGAGACAGATCGATATCTAAAGGCAGCTAGTGTTTACCTTTTCTTTCTTTGAAAAAAGGAAGAATTGTGTCATTGTTAACTGAAGATGAAGGCATGCCTGGTACGGTATACAAGGAAAACGGCGACTGCAGGACCGTACCACAGCCTGGTTTGTCCAAATAATGTGAGTTAGGTTACCAAAACCGTTTCCACCGACTAGTTAATTAGTAGTATCTGAGGTCCCTCCTCATGTGCACCAACCCAATATGCAATGACCAGAACACCAGACACGAGTCTGTTTTGACCTCTTCTCCGCTTCTCCTCTTGACAGGGTAAAACATGAAGAATTGGAACCACGTCAACGATCCAGTAAAAATCACTGAAACAAGGTTGTGTGAAGTACTATTGCTTACACTTAAACACAAGTCTGTCTTACAGTTGGCTACAGAAGGACTGACGACAGAACCATTGAAAAAGGGGGGACATGGACAGGGCATATATGGACGCGCTAAACCTCCAGATGATGGTGTCATATATTCTACTAAACTCATGGTTAGGCTTGACATATTCATGCCTGGAGGACCTCACGCTAGCAATCTGAAGCTATGAGCTATGAGGCACGGGATGCAGGGTTTCAGAATATTGAGATGCAAGACTGACTGCCCCTGTCCATCATCAGGGGATGGAAGGTGGTGGGTTTACTCGCGGGAAGACCATGTCAAATGACCCGACTTTTCAGACAATTGATCAACTGCAGCTCACCGACAAGATGTTCGCCACGTTCAGAATATAACCACAGTAGACAACCTTGCGACAGCAGAATTAGCAAACACTAGTTTCCTTTTTGCACACAAAATGATATTGTCCAAGATTCAAATCAGTTCTATGTCCTCTCCTATTTATGGAAAGAAAAATACTCTTCAGAGTTTAGACCTCCTATGGAACATGATCAGAAGCTACCAGCAGCAATAATTTTACAAGCCCAGCGGTCATTTATAACAGAGGGACTGAATAAAACAGAAGAGTTGATACATTTCTGAAGCTGACAAGATTGGCCTTCCATTGCGCCTTAGAAAAAAAGAAGCGGCATGAAAGGCGAGTTAGTCGTCGATGGTTTTCGCTCTCATGCAACCACAAGGCGAGTTTCGCTGTTGCTTGCGACTGTCCCGCCGTCGACCATAGAGATACTCTACAAGCTGCACTTTGGACCGCCGCTGCAGGGCTTTCGAGGTCTTTCTGCTGCTCTGCTCCTCCTCGTATTTCAGCAGAGCCTGCTGGACCTTCTGCATTTCCACCTCCAGCCTCCCGATCTTCTCAGACATCTTCCTTGCACGCTCCAAGATCTTACGCTGATGTCTGCTCCTCAAGTCGCTGTTTTCAGCATCGAGACCATCAGGAGACGTGAACTCCTCAGCCTTCTTGGACAGCTTACTGTTGGTATCGATCAGCTGGATGATGGTACCCTCAGCTTCTCTTATTTGGTACCTAACGCTCTCGAGTTCTAGCTCTTCAGATGTTTCGGCGTTCGTTTTAAGTTCTTGGATGCTGGATTGGAGGGAGCTAAGCCTTTGGGCATCAGAAGACAACCTTTCTACGACCTTGTTTCTCCACTCCTCGTGTGGCTCCGTGGCGAGCGACCTCGGTAGCTCTTGCTTGTCAATGCTGAG